CGGGCAGAGGGACGGCAGGAGGCTGTTCCGTCACGCCGTGCCAGGGTGTTTTCCTGATTCGAAGGGTGTCTTCTGGCTTGCTTTTTGCGCCTGGGACAGTGGAATTGCCTGCCAGAACCTTGATTTTTTCATTCGGCTCAGGAGTGACGTTTTGTGTTCCTGATTCGAAGGGTGTCTTGTGGCTTGGTTTCTGCGCCTGGAACAGTGGAATTGCCTGCCAGATCCTTGATTTTTTCATTCGGTTCAGGAGTGACGCTTGGCCCGGGCAGAGGGACGGCAGGAGGCCGTGGAGCACACCGTGGAGCACACCGTGGAGTCACCATCCTCATGTCTGCTTCTGCACGCTCATTTCCACTTTGCCAATCACAGACAAACACAGAATCTAGCATTAGTTACTACAAAATCATTCCACTTCTGCTCCCAATCACAAACAAACACAAAATCTAGCATCATTCAGTCTCCAACCACCTCTTGGCTTCTACAAAAATCATCGCCGCTGGAGACCCCCCGGTGCATCGCGGCTGGCTGCTCGCCGAGCCTCGATTGGCCTACTTCTCCGCGCTCGTTTCCACTTGTGACGCCAGGCCCAAACGAGCGCAGCACGTCTTCCATCACATCTTAGCTTGCAGCAGGCTGTGGAGTGACCCTGCTTTCTATATGCACCCCCCCCAATGCTCATGCGTGTGTTGCATCACCATACCTTCTCTCTGCCCCCCAGCACCTTGCGCCTCCCCCTCAAACCCAATCAAACCTGCACATGAGGGTTCCCCGCCGATGCAGCACGCCGTGGAGTCACCATGCGTTCTGCCCTACCACCTGCCTCGTCTCTTGCCTGCACCCTATACTGGCGCCATGTCCCTCCACATACAGTAGCGACCACAGGAGCTCCCTTCCTTTTCTCTCCCACTTCATCCCCCTCTACTTCTACCCCGTCTACACTGCCACGGCCCCGCCTCCAGCCCCTTAACATCCACATGGGGGTTCCACGTAGCCGATGCAGCACACGTGCAATCACCATGCCCTCTGTCTGCCCCACACCCTTTAATATCTCTAACGCTTACCCCATCCCTGCCCCCTCCTCACATTGGGAATTCCACGTAGCCGATGCAGCACGCCGTGGAGTCACCATGTGTTCTGCCCTACCACCTACTTCATCTCTTACCTGCACCCTATACTGGCGCCATGTCCCACTGCCACCCCGAGTAAACCTCCACACAGGGACCATAGGGCCTCCGTTCCTTGTGTCTCCCACTTCCCTCTTGCCTGCACCCTCTACTTCTACCCCGTCTACACTGCCATGGGTCGTTTCTGTTGCGTCGTCCTCCAGCCCCTTAACATCCACTGCGTCCTCCCGCCCCTTAACATCCACATGGGGGTTCCACGTAGCCGATGCAGCACACCGTGGAATCACCATGCCCTCTGTCTGCCCCACACCCTTTAATATCTCTAATGTTTACCCCCTCTCTTCCCCCTCCTCACATTGGGAATTCCACGTAGCCGATGCAGCACGCCGTGGAGTCACCATGTGTTCTGCCCTACCACCTACCTCGTCTCTTGCCTGCACCCTATACTGGCGCCAGGTCCCTCCACATAGCGACCAGAGGAACTCCCTTCCTTTTGTCTCCCACTTCATCCCTCTTGCCTCCGCCCTCTACTTCTACCCCGTCTACACTGCCACAACCCCGTCCCTGCTGCATCCTCCAGCCCCTTGACATCCACATGGGGGTTCCACGTAGCCGATGCAGCACACCGTGGAGTCACCATGCCCTCTGTCTGCCCCACACCCTTTAATATCTCTAACGCTTACCCCATCCCTGCCCCCTCCTCACATTGGGGATTCCACGTAGCCGATGCAGCACGCCGTGGAGTCACCATGTGTTCTGCCCTACCACCTTCTCTTGCCTGCACCCTATACTGGCGCCATGTCCCACTGCCACAGGGTCTCCGTTCCTTGTGTCTCCCACTTCATCCCTCTTGCCTGCACCCTCTACTTCCACCCCGTCTACACTGCCATGGCCCCGTCCCTGCTGCGTCCTCCAGCCCCTTAACATCCACATGGGGGTTCCACGTAGCGGATGCAGCACACCGTGGAGACCCCCTTGAATAACTCTAACGCTTACCCCATCCCTGCCCCCTCACATTGGGGATTCCACGTAGCCGATGCAGCACGCCTGCCCTACCACCTACTTCATCTCTTGCCTGCACCCTATACTGGCACCATGTCCCACTGCCACCCCGAGTAAACCTCCACACAGCGACCATAGGGACTCCGTTCCTGTGTCTCCCACTTCATCCCTCTTGCCTGCACCCTCTACCTCCACCCTGTCTACACTGCCATGGCCCCGTCCCTGCGTCCTCCAGCCCCTTAACATCCACATGGGGGTTCCACGTAGCCGATGCAGCACACCGTGGAGTCACCATGCCCTCTGTCTGCCCCACCCCCTTTAATATCTCTAACGCTTACCCCCTCCCTGCCCCCTCCTCTCCACGTAGCC